AGAGAGAGAGAGAGAGAGAGAGTCCAGATTGGGGAACCCCTGCCGCGGCATTAACGGTACGTATTCTCGGATGGACGCGCGGCGCCCGCCAAGGCCAAGCGAAAGTTTGTTCCGAACCAAATCCGACGAAATTTTTTTTATCTGTAGTACGTACTTATCGGGGACGCCCAGGTCTAGCTGCTTGTTTGCGCCCGCGCCATTATCGATGATGAACTTGAGGTAACCTCGAAAACTGCGCAACAGTGTGGGCATCGGCGAGGTGATGGTGATGCGGAGGCGGAGGTTGCGACAAAGTCAGCGGAGGGAATTCAAGAGATGAGCAGTTAGAGAAATGGCGTGGCGGTCGGGACGAGAGGGAGAAGAGGGCGAAAGAGAGAAGAGAAAGACAGAATGAGAGAGAGGAAGGAGGCCAGGGGTACGACGATTGCACTCTCGCTCTATGTCGTTCGTCGCCGTAGCCCCGCGATTTTTTCGGATTCTCCAAACAAAGCTTTTTCTCTTTCCTCGTAGGTCCGTCGATTAGGATGCCACATCGATCACAATAATCGCGATATGAAAGAGCGCCGTCATGCTGTAGTCGAGATATCGTAGGCGCGAAAGAGAAGAGACAGCTGATGATCGGCGATTATGATTATACATAGACTTTCCTTGATGTTATCGGTTCGGAATGTTATCTAGTCGGATACCCGCGTTCTCCTTTATCTGAGATTCATGCGAGGATATATACACACACTGGAAATACAATGTGCAGGCGATACAATCTGTTTATACATTGCTGGGTTACGATGACCTTCTCCTCGCCGCTAATATCGCGGTATCTAGTCGAAAGTGAAGTAACCGAAACGACCGGAGAGAGAATATAAACGATACGCGATATGAAGTCACTTTTTAAATAGTGACATATCGACGTGACACCACCGCCGATATCTTCGCCGATACAAGGAATTGTACTTTCCTCGCTCCGCTAATATCTACCGAATATATAAATATTATCTCGCTTTTAACGATTCTATAAATTGTTGTATTGTTGGTTTTATCGTTAAAAAATATTCCAATATCGCTATTACCCCGACTGTGACCTCCGGCTTGCACGCTCCGGACGATCTCGCGTCCGCATTATTACCGAAATGATAGAACTTAATGAGACGGTTTACATAACCGAGAGCGCATCTTAAAATCGCACACTCCGCACAAATTCTCAAAATTCACGCCAGCACTCTTTTCTCTTCCTCCCCTTCGCGCAATCTGCCGGAGATTAGCGCGGAGGGGCGAGGCGAGTGAGAAGTGCAACTGGCTTATATCGCGGGCCGCTGCTGTTTGTGCTTGTTAGAGAAGCCAACGAGTGCTTCTCGCTAAGAATAGCGGTGCACAATCTACATGAGAAAACTTCTCGAGTCGCTTTGTGCGATGTCTCTTGCGCGTCGTAAAACATGTGCCCTCTCCGTTGTCCGAACGAGTTTGGCTAGAGAGAATACGCGGGGCCCCGTCTTGTTACACCCTCTCCGGCAATCCTCCCCGCGTTCCTTCGGGAGAGCGTAGAGAGAAAAGGGGGGGGGTTGCTTGTCTATCCGCATAATGCTTACCTATTGCGGAACGCCCATCCTTTCCGCCGCTGGGGGTACGGATATTGTGCGGAGCGCAGGAACGAGTTACCTCTCGTTTTATGATATTCGAGCGAACGCGCGTTTTATGCAGACCGAGAGACGACGAGAAGGAAAGAGGGGAAAAAAAACCAGACGTTCTAGACTAGGTGTTTGGGGAGATTCTCTTTTTCGAGACGTAGTTAGTACATCCACGGTTGGAGAAAGGAATTACGTCTCGTATCACGTATCACTTAAAAATGCACAACGGCGAACGGAGATCAGATCTATCCGCGTATCCAATCGCGCTCGGCGGCGAATGCCGCGTTTAGGTAAATTGCTAGATATTCGTTGGCACGCCCGAGGCTAATCTCACATTCTCTTCAATGGCATTGTGGATTTTCTCGATGTTCCGCGCGACGTTCCGTGGTCTGGACTCGTTTTACGGTGGAGCGGTGCGGTCTATCGATCGTAGTTTCGCTCTCTCTCTTTCTCTCTCCGCGCTTAGAGTCAACATCAGTCATAATACAGCGTAACGGCATACAGGGGTTATTAAGAATAATACACATCCTACGTATATATCTTCTCGGTTGTATCGCGAGGAGGAACGCTTCGGGGTACGCGCGGGAGCCGGGAGGCGCGCGCGCGGGATTGCGGCGGCAGAATCACGAGGGTCGCGAAACACGAGGAGGAAGGGCGAAGTAGAGAAGCGGAGGACTCCGACGTGGGGTAGCGTTGCCACGGGTAACCGGCTGGGTAAAATCCCGCAAAGAAGCATCCGCGAACTCGGCCGTGCTCCTGTCGACGACGATCGTTGTCGTCCCATCGACATCTGCTTCATTCGATAGATGTTACTTATGGCACCAAATGTGCCGACACGTCATCTCTCGATACACTTAACTCGATGTGTAGACCGATTGCACCGAGCGACTTACATGGATTAACCCTTACCTAAATTAATTGCAACAAACGTTTGAGAATTATTCTGATTTAATTCTAAATTTTTTTAATTTTCCTGTTATTGAAAATATGTAGCACGAAAAAAAAATCATTTATTCGAAATTTCCATATTAATCCTTAAGGCTATTTTTATGACAAAATTGTGAAATTA